AGCAATCCACTCCTAGGTATCTACCCAAAAGACACAAAAACACTGATTCAAAAAGATACCTGCACCCCCATGTTTATTGCTGCTTTATTCACAATTGGAAAGCCATGGAAACAGCCCAAATGCCCAAAAGTGGATGACTGGATGAAAAAGATGTGGTACATATACACAATGGAATATTACTCATCAACCAAAAAGAAAATAATAATAATAATGAACTGTTATATACCAGAGACATTTGATGGGGGTGGAGTGGGGAATGGGATCAAAAACAGTGGGGGGAAGGAAATGCACTGGACTATGGTGATGGCACACAGGTTATTTGGTGATGGGAAGCCCAAGGGGATTATAACTGAGATGGAAAAATGCACAAAATGATAGAAAAATAAACTATTTAAGGAAAAAAAAAAGCAGATTATGTGCCAACTTTTTATCAAGGGAGAGGGTGTTGAGTTGGGGAGTGAGGAGAATGTTGATTAGGAGATTATAAAATACTTCTTGTGCTATATATTGGTAAATATTGGTAAAGCCTGAACTTCTTTTTCTGAAAATAAACATGATTTTTGGTAGGAAAAAAAAAAAAAAAGCAATGGTTTAGTTTTCCAATGCACAGACTTGAAAAGACTGTTTACTTTGGTAACAATGGAAGCTATACCTTGATCAGAATAAAGGTAATTTTAAAAATTGGTTAGGTGCATAAAGATGCTCACTGTAGTAATACTTAACTATGCTTATGAAGAGAAACTGGAAAAACCTGAACATTTACATTATGTATAATATACTCAGGCACTTTCCAAAGAATTTCATGTAGTCAACAAAAACAACAGAAAACAGGGTAGTAACAAGGAAAATACAGGGAAAAACAAAACTTGTCTCTCTGAGGTAATTTTATATTAAAATGTGTATATCTTGACACGGACAGAGGAATATGGAAATACGAAGATATTCTGTTAGAATGGTAAAGGTTGGGGTGAATTTGTTTTTAACAGCTGTGTCTGTGTTACGTCCTGGCCACGCGTTACTGTGCCCTCGTCTCCAGGTCGGAGCTGTCAATGGTGTACACCACATCCTTGAGCTCAGGGGTCTTTTAACACCCTTTGGTCTAGGAAAGGCTGGGAGGGCCTAAGGCTGTAGGAGACCTGGGGGAGCGGCGGGGGGAAGGGTGGGACACCAACAGGGTGGGACACCAACCTGCTCTCGGGCTCCAGTTTGCAGCAGATGGCAGCCAGGGGGAAGAAGGCTGGGGGGCAATCTGTGGGGACAAACTTTTCCCAGAAAAGCTTCACATTGAGGCCAAAGTCCAGTGTTCGGGGCAGGCAGTCGGGATCTGCGTACACCTGCCCGATGATCTGTAGACGAGAGGACGCTGGTCAGGAATGGCCTATGGTGCATGTAGCCAGATGGCAGGACAAAGTGCTGGTTGCATGACAGGTAAGATGGGCAGAAAAGGTAAAAATCAAGGTTGGGGCTGCCCTTACCCCAATTCTCCACATATTACCAATCCTGACTTATCTCTTTACTGAGAGTCTGGTCACCGAGCAGGGTTTAGAAGCGGCCTCAACGCGGCAAAAGGAGGCACTTGGAGGAGTTTCCACACATCCCACCCTGCCCTGCTGGGTCCCCTGTATCTGTGTCTCCTGCCAGAGTTCAGGCTCTGTGCCATGAGGTGCTGCATCTGCCCAGTGTGTTATACATAGTAGATGGTTCACTAGCTCTCTATACAAGAAAACAAAAAAACCTTCCTTCATCATTCCAATGGTCTCTTTCTTTCTTTGCAAATTATGGAAGCCTTTGAATGTCTGTGTGTACTCCTGCCTTGAGGAGTCCAAGCTCAATCTGAGACTCACTGTGCACCCCAAGAGCCTAGCACTGGGCTGGCAATTCCAAGTGTAGCTATTTCTATTTGCTGGGCTGAGGGCAAGGGCACCAGCAGGGTCTGGAGAAGGGATAACAGAGCTCTGGCCCAAGAGCTACACCATCAGCCACATGCATAGCGGCTTGCCTTTGCCGGCGGAGTTCTGAATCTAACATCTGCTTTCCTGGCCGTGTGACCAAGAGCAGCCATGATCCCTTTCTGGGCCTCAGTGTTTTCACTAAAAACACCCTGCTCAGCTCTTGAACGTGTCAACGGTTAAGTCAGGAACTAACTATACACCCGCGTGTTGATTTCACAGCGAACACTGGTCCCTAGGAGGAGGTAGTATATTTCTGTGCTCACCTCACAGAGAACGATCCCAAAAGAGAAGACATCCACTGTTTCATCGTAGCTCTTTCCTTGGAGAACACAGAACAGGTTGTTAGGTGTGATCCCTTACATGCTCTGTATTGAGGCCAGGGCCACATTTTAGACCACAGTTAAGACCTAGGGCTAAAGAATGCCCCGAAGATATCAGGACAGGCACCATCTAAAAATCATTTTCCTTAGCCCTGGGCGGGTTGCTTTGTAGGTCCTTATAAAGTACTGCCCAGGATAAAACTGCATGGTACAGTGAAAGAGAACTGATTCACCTGCACTCTTCCATAAGCCAACTGTGTGCTTCTGGGCAAATCATGGAACTTCTGAGGCTCAGACTCCAAAAATGGTTGTATCTGACCATGTCTGAGGCCTCATAATGTTCGTTTTCAAGAATCCCAGCCAGCATCTTTGGTTAATTTGACATCCACAAGGGGGCACCACACTTCAGTTCTCAGCACAGAAAACTGAAAAGGCCAAAAGTTGGATTAACACATTGTCTGAGCTCTGAGCCATCCTCGAGCAACAACAGTCACAGTCAGGCCTAAACTAAGGCCCAGGATGGGACACTGACCAGCTCAGGGAGGCAAGAGTTTATGAAGCCCGTCTGGCAAGGGATAAAAATTATCCAGCCCACAGCTCTGTACCTGGCCCTACACTTCACAGGTCTCCCCAGAGCTCCCAGGGTTCTACTGCTACAATGTGGCCTCCAATCCCCTTTGGAGGGGACGTCTGCCACAGGGTGTCAGGACTCACCATTCAGCATTTCGGGGGCCATCCAGTAGGGGTTCCCCACCACCGTGTAGCGCTTCTTTCGGTCACTCTTGCGCAAGGTGCGTTTCTTAGTGTTGGCCTTCTCCACTGGGGGTTTCTTCCTTTCCTCCACTATGAGCCGTGAGAGCCCAAAGTCTGCCACCACTACAGTCTTGTCCTGGCAGGGCAAGGGACAGGTCAGGATCTGGTGGGGTTGGCCTTAAATCTGGCCACGGGGTGATGGCACAGGTAAGAGACGCCATCAAGGGGAGAGAAGGTGTTCAGCAAAAGAAAGCACAAGAAGAGCTCTAGCCGGCAGCTGCGCACAGCTGAGGCCATGGGGCTCTGGGAACTGGAAGAAGGAACTCAGGGTAGTCAGGGAGTTTCTTTGCTGTCCTCCCTCTCACCACCACCCCCAATCCTACCTTGTTCCCCAAACAAGGATAAGAGAGAAAAAGATAAGGTGGAGGAAGTCAGTGAGGGGATTTGGAAGAGATAAAACTCTTCAAATAGCTGGAGGGCAGTCAAGTGAAAAAGAGATTAGGATTGTTTGGTGTGGGTTCAGAGGGCAGAGAGAGAGGGACACCCAGGAAGCCAGAATGCAAGGCAACAGGAGGAATGACATTGTAACAATCAGAGCCCAGAAGCAATGCGAGGAATGCTGCCCCCAACTAGTCGCTTTAAACCACCAGCTCTGCAGTCTCAGCTGAGGCGGCACATAGCACACATGTAAAACGGGGCCCAAGGCTTGTGCTGCTTTCCCGAACCATCATGGACAAACCAGGTAAAGGACAGGGGGCTCCTTATGCAGAAGTCCCTCTGCATAAAGGGTGTCAAGGCTGCCCTGGGAGGAGGTGGACCTAAGCCTGCATGTCCAGGAGCCCCCGGGAGACAGGAGAATCAGAGGCAGCAGGAAGGTGAAGATAAGAGCTCCTGGATGATAGCTCTGGTCTAGAGCGGGAAGGAAGAGCCCGTCTCCTCTGACAAGGAGGGCAAGGGCGCTGGCCCTAGGGGAGGCCAAGTGCGACGGACATACCAGCTTGATGAGGCAGTTGTGAGAGTTCAGGTCCCGATGGATGATGCACATGGAGTGCAAATAGGCCTGGAAAAGAAGCATGAGGTGAGCCTGGTGGCTACCGACACAGCCAGACCTGACTTGGAAATTGAGGGCATAGATCCCCATTCTTCTCCCATACTCCCCAGCCAGCTTCAGAACCCAACCTGGCTTCCTGCCAAAGGCTACCTGAGTTTCCTTGTTTCCCCTGCTGCCACCTTTGGGCTATCCTTTTGTTCACTGACCCTAGGCCTGTGGCTCTAAGTCCTCAGAGCCCTCTCCTGAAAGCCCCCAAACTGGCTGAGCCTGCTATACCAATTTTACTTAGGTCGGGAATCTGAGCCCTGCGCAGTGATCCTGGGTCCCAAGCCCAACCTCATCTCTTCACTACAGCTACTCGATCCTTCCTGCCTTGTAACAGGGGAAGAAATGACCTCCTCCTGGTCCAGCTGGCCCTGTGGTCTGACATTCCCATCTCCAGAGACTTGGGACTTCGTCTACACTTGAATCTCTGCCTCTTTCCATCCAAATGTTTCCGAACAAATTTCTATGTGCCAGTTCCCTCCTAGGTCTCCACCTCTGGGTTCTGCCATTCCCTTTTCCTTCCCCCAGCGAATGTAGAAGCCATTTCTCTACTCCCTGCCCGCCACACTACTGCTGCCATGCCCTAGGGTCCCGGAGCTGTTCAAGCCACCAGGGGGTTGTTTCTGAACTCTGGTGCTCGTGAGCTGTCTGTCCATCCTCTCCTCAAAGGTTGCCCAAGCCTCCCTCACACCTGAGACTCCTGCGTACCTGGTTTTCCCTTCCAGCATCCTCAATATTACTCCTTGAAGCTATCTGCTCTTCCTATGTGGACTGCCCCTGTCCCAACCAGAGATGCACCTACTTGCCCTTCTGTAACAGGGTGGTCCCTAGGAAAAGGGGAAGTTCCAGGTTCCCTGCCCCACCCAGAAGGAGGGTGGAGCTGAGCAGAAAAAAAGGAGAGAAGAGAAGGAACCAGAAGAAGGAAGCAGG